GTGTAAAGTGTAGAGTGTGGAGTATGGAGTGTAAACTGTAGAGTGTGGAGTGTGGAGTGTAAAGTCTGGAGTGAGGAGAGTAAAGTGGAAAGCGTGGAGTGTCAAGTGTAAAGTGTGGAGTGTAGAGTGTATAAGTAGAGTGTAAAGTGTAGAGTGTGGGGTGTAAAGTGTGGAGTGTAAAGTGTGGAGTGTGGAGAGTAAAGTGTGGAGTGTAAAGTGTGGAGTGAGGAGTGTAAAGTGTGGAGTGTGGAGTGTAAAGTGTGGAGTGGAAAGTGTGGAGTGCGAAGTGTGGAGTGTAAAGTGTGGAGTGTGGAGTGTGGAGTGTAAAGTGTGGAGTGAGGAGTGTAAAGTGTGGAGTGTAAAGTGTGGAGTGTGGAGTGAGGAGTGTAAAGTGTGGAGTGTGGAGTGTACAGTGTGAAGTGTAAAGTGGAGTGTGGAGCGTAAAGTGTAGAGTGTGGACTCTGGAGTGGAAAGTGTAGAGTGTGGTGTGTAGAGTGTGGAGTGTGGAGTGTAAAGTGAGGAGTGTAAAGTGTGGAGTGTGGAGTGAGGAGTGTAAAGTATAAAGTGTGGAGTGTGGAGTGTACAGTAAAGTGTGGAGTGTGGAGTGGAAAGTGTAGAGTGTGGAGTGTGGAGTGTAAAGTGGGGAGTGTGGAGTGTAGAGTGTGGAGTGTGGAGTGTAAAGTGTGGAGTGTGGAGTGTAAAGTGTGGAGTGCGAAATGTGGAGTGGAAAGTGTAGAGTGTGGTGTGTAGAGTGGAGTGTGGAGTGTAAAATGTAAAGTGTGGAGTGTAGAGTGTAAAGTGTGGAGTGTGGAGTGTGGAGTGTAGAGTGTAAAGTGTAGAGTGTAAAGTGTAGAGTGTGGAGTGTAGAGTGTAAAGTGCAAAGTGTAAAGTGTGGAGTGAGGAGTGTAAAGTGTGGAGTGTGGAGTGTAAAGTGTGGAGTGTGGAGTGTGGAGTGGAAAGTGTGGAGTGTGAAGTGTGGAGTGTAAAGTAAGGAGTGTGTAGTGTAAAGTGTAGAGTGTGGAGTGTAAAGTGTAGAGTGTGGAGTGTGGAGTGTAAAGTGTAGAGTGAGGAGTGAGGAGTGGAAAGTGTAGAGTGTAGTGTAAAGTGTGGAGTGTGGAGTGTAAAGTCTCAGGTGAGGAGTGGGGAGTGTAAAGTGCAAAGTGTAAAGCGCGGAGTGTAAAGTGTAGAGTGTGGAGTCTAAAGTGTAAATTGTGGAGTGTGGAGTGTGAAGTGTAGAGTGTGGAGTGCGGAGCTTCCCCCATAGACACGGCGACGCCACAGGAAAACCAGAGACTCGAGACGAGACACGTGGTTGCAAAAAACGAGCATTTCGTGCGAGACTTCCTCCAATTTTGATATTTTCCACACGTTATCAAACAGTTTGGAATGTCAGAAAGTGCCACGTCTGCCACGCAAAACAACATGACAACCTGCTTGGAAACATTCGAAAAGGACAGGTTTTCCAGCTTCCCCCATAGACACGGCGACGCCACAGGAAAACCAGCGACTCGAGACAAGACACGTGGATGCAGAAAAAGCAGCATTTCGTACGAGACTTCCTCCAAGTTTGAAATTTGTGAACATCATCAATCAGGTTGGAATGTCAGAAAGTGCCACGCCTGCCACGCAAAACGGCAGGACAACCTGCTTGGAAACATTCGAAGAGGAGAGGTTTTCCAGCTTCCCCCATAGACACGGCGACGCCACAGGAAAACCAGCGACTCGAGACAAGACACGTGGATGCAGAAAAACTAGCATTTCGCACGAGACTTCCGGCACTTTTCACAGTTGGCTACATGACAAAAGGACAAGTTTTGCAGCTTCCCCCATAGACACGGCGAGGCCACGGGAAAACCAGAGACGCGAGACGAGACAGGTGGGAGCACCAAAACGAGCATTTCGTGCGAGACCGCCTCAAATTTTCACACTTTGCAGCTTCAAAATCGACGTTTTCCTACGAGTTTTCCTTCGAACCCGAAAATTGGCAACATCAAAATCGATGTTTCGTGCGAGGCTTCCGTCAATTTTCAGCACATCGCACAAAATGCCACGCCTGCCACGGAATTTGCACCTTGTCGCCACTTGACGCAGCCCTGCCAATGCGATTTGCAAAAAACACGCAACGCGACACGTCTAAAGTGCTGCGCCTGCCACGAAAAATGACGACGGACACGCCCAAAGTGCTGCGCCTGCCACGAAAACTGCAACACATCTTCTGAAAACGTCGCAAAAGTATTGCGCCTGCCACGCAAAACGACTTTTCGACACGTTGCAAAACATGTCTGAATGTCATGAAGTGCCACGCCTGCCACGCGAAACGAAGCAACGACACGTCTGAAACCTCCAAAAAATACCACCTCTGCAGAACTTCCCATAGGCACGGCCATATGGTCCTCGCGCGAACGGTTGCGGACGGTTGCGAACGGTTGCGCTCGCGAACGCAACGTCGAGCGAACACACCCTCAACCCCCAGACCCCCAGAGTGAAACGGGAACCCTTGCTACGCATTCGGGAAAAAGGTAGCATGCATCGAATTTTGTAGTTGCGCACCTTATGCTTTGTGTCTTGTACCTATCAAAATCCTCTGCACAACTCCCCCCTTATCTGAACCCTGATCCATTAGTGATAATATGTGATAATATGTGATAATATGTGATTTACCTATGATTTCCCTGTGATTTACCTAGGATTTTTGCATTTTTATCTACTGGTGTTGTCTCTGATCCTAGAGATCCATCTCAAGGACCTCGGATGCACCGGTGATCTACGACTTCACGGATCTGCAGCATGGCGATGATGCCGCCTCCACGGCGGAGCCAGCCTCAGATTGAGTCGCGGCTGTCCCAAGGGGATTGGGTTCATAACAACCAAAGGTGGATAGGAACATATGGAAAAGTATGGAAAAGTGAAATTCGATCCAAAAACTGCGTGGTGAATGATTTTTTATTTTTTTCGGGGTTGCGAGAAGGGAATCTTGTGGAACATTTATAGGAAAGCCGCTAAAGTTGATGAACAAAAACAATGATTGCAGGTAATGTGTCCATTAAACAAAGCAATTCTGAGGACTAGGCTGGTTTTTGGATGATCTTTGTCATGTTGTTTTTGACATGTTCTAGATGTTCAACTTTTCTATTTTTGGATTGAGCTGGAGGTATAGATGATGACCATAGGGCTATAAATAGATGACCTCTTAAAATTCTAGAGATGGACACAATGAGGTACCAAGCATGTCCTTAGGATTTGTTGCCAAGTCGAATCTATGAGAGAAGATATACATCCCAAAGAAAGTGTGCAAATTCACATCAAAATAAATCTTCAACAACCTGTCAGTATTCGCGAGGACAACATCGGTGTACATAGTGTGCAAACCAGAATTCATGACCTGACTGGACCTAAACTGTCCAACCAGGCTGACGTGCGTGCGGTATGCACGGCATTGATGTCATGGTCAAACCTGCCCTCATCATCCCCCATTAGTAGTGGTTCTTTCAAGCCCTTCCAAGAAATTCCCCCTAGTGGTTGGACCATGGCACATCTAGAGTTTGGATGAGTTTGGAACGCAAGAACGCACAAAGTCTGCTCAGAAAATGTGTCAACGGGTGTGGAGCAGTGTCCGGCTGCATGTCATTACAACGGCTTCTTATGTGGGTTTACTACCATAAGGATTATGGTTGGAGTTCTTGGAAATCCCTGGGGCAGCCTGTGCCATAGCAGCGGGGAAACTGCTGGTGTCATCCACATCGGCATCCGACAACCTGGCTGGTGGTGCAGGTGGAACCAACGCCAGAAGAAGTATCACATGGTATGTTTTTCTACAAAGATCAAGGGAGTTTACCACATGCTTGGTAGGGCCGGGTGTCCTCAGCATCAAACGACTTTGGTGGATGAAGGTGATGATAAGACTCTGCTTGTATTTGCTGCGTAGCTGTTTTCAGGATTAACTTCGAAGGACATCTCATGCTCCATGGATCGTAGGGCCGCGAGCATGGTATGTCAATTTGGGACAACTGCCCAAGTACTGTAGCCATTAACATTGACGGGTCCGAACATGTAGCCTTGGTTACATGGCAAAACATAGAGAAGGATACTGTATGTATGACACTGCAATCAGAGTTATGAGCACCCTGAACACCGACGCACCACTGGGATCGCTTTGGCGCATGACTGAATTTGAGCCAGACACCTAACGCTTCAAGAAAGTGTCACAACGAAAAAAAATCAAAGCACTCAGCCAGGTCGGCTCTTGCATGAAACACAACTTGACCAAAGACATTAGCTGAACAGGCAAAGCTCACATCTATGGCAATTGTGAGACAAGAAATCTTCAGCTGAGACTTTATCTTCAGCTTTAGTTTTGTTGCGAAGATGGCGCATCACCGCTGTCGCTCCAGATTGGCGTTGCTTGCATCGCTGGCTGCCGTTTTGATGGCTGTGGCACCCTCGGGGCCACATTGGAGCCTGTGAAAGGTTGTCATCACTAGTCACCATCAAGATCAAAGGAGATTGCACTTTTCGACACGCTACTGTTCGATGTGGGTTGTGGATGGTTATGGCATGTTATGGCTTAGTGCTGGACCAAACTTAATTAGTTAGCATGATTAGATAACATATATCACATTAAATCCTACAGTTTTGTGGGCCTAACTTGGTGCCCCTGCATTTTTGAGCCAGACGCCACAACTTGCCAAAGTAAGAGTCATCCAACGGTGATTCCTATAGTGTTGCCGGGTGGCTCCATCACCCAATCATCCACATCATCATTTGCTCTGCGTCCGAGGAATTGTAAGTGGTGCAACCCATTAGTTCAACATCTCATTTGTGTCGTTTCACTACATTCTGGAGCTGTTTTCTGCATACCAACGAAACAGGTGACCGGTGACAAGTATTGATAACAGATAACTGTGATAAATAAACCATATCCATTCATATCCCTATACCCAGTGGGAGATTTTTTCCCCATTCCACTTGGAATGCATATTCCCAAGTCGCAAGTGGCTCAGGTGCAATGGGCCGAATGGGGCACCGGCTGGACCTCCGCCTTCGTTGGTGCGCGTCCGGTCAAAGCAGGCCTCAGGGTGAAGATTGGGAGCGGCGGAAGCCATAGGTTCATAGATAGGGTGTCTCTCATTGTCAATTACAGTATTGGTTTTAATCATAAATATGTTATACTTGTTTTTGTGGGGAGTTCAATTTTGACCACCACCCTTCTTGTCTTCAATTCCTATTTCGATTCGGAGGGATTGTTGTGGAGCAATGCAAGATCAGGTGTGGACCCAACAACTTAGATTGAGCGTAGCCACAGCCCCATGAAAAAATGAGGTTATGTACATTTATGTACTGTATATGTATATGATATCCAATGATATACATATCATATACTCATAAATCAGCAGCAATGAGGAGTCATAGAGAAATTAAGACATTTATATATATATATATATATCGCATATGTAGCATCAGCCAGCTATACATATATTATAAATATAACTAGTGACTATATTACTATATTGTGTACATTCATGTAAAATACCATTCAATATCAACCGCATCACGATTATCAACGAAGTATTTACTCTCCTCGTTGCTACATCTCCAAGTATTCCCTACCCTCACAACTCCTTCACGCGCTATGCTCGGAAAGGCTACCAGATGGCGACCTGCCGCCGGGCTTCCGAGGATGAACTGCCAGAGGTGCAGTTGGTAGATGTTGAAATGGAGGTGCTTGTGGCCCCCAGTGGGACTTACCCACCCAAAAAATGTTAAAATGGATGAAAATGGTGATTTAACCACGAAACATCGGGAGACTCCACTAACCACCAGAAATGGTGATGGATGGCAACAGGATGTGTGATTTAAGCACCAAAACTGGACTTGCGGGACAAGCGGGACGTGGGTTGTGCATAAATATGCCATAGGCACCAAGTTTCGACACACCGAGGCATATGTCCAGGTTCCACGCGTATTTACTTTGACGTCCTGAAGATTCCTGAAGACCATCATCACTGTCATCACCATCACAATAATATCATGTTGGTGATGATGATGATGATGATGATGATTTGTATAGAAACAAAAGGTGATACACTAGTGGCAATCATCATCATTGGCATCATCATTATTATCAACATCTTCCTCAGCAGCCCGCTGTCACCAGGCGCCAGAGGGCGGAAGAGTCATCCATGTGGAGTACTGTGTGGGGCCCCAGTTGTGATATAAAAAAAGCCGGTTCTGAACAATTTGTTGACTGCGGGATTTTCATATGGGGGCTGACATTTTGGATTATTTTAGAATTATCATTATTTTGGAATCAAGTGGGGGGTTATAAGTCCGCGGTTGACACTAAATATCAGTGTGAACATTGGACACCTCCTAGTTTCCATCCTCGATGGGTAACGGGTAAAGGATGTAACTCTTATTTGGATCCATTTGGCAATTTTTGGATGGTGGAAAATAAGTCCTCTAGCTCTCTTGACTAGTAAGCATAGTAAGCACCTCTTGGCGCCCAGATCCAACCTCAACATTTTCCACAGCGGCAGTGTCACTTCGGATAGCTCGAGGCATGTACTGCAAGTTCCTCCCGCAGTACCTTAAGTTCAGGAAGGCAAAAGGGGCGCAGCTGAGGAAGTCACACTGAGGGAAAACTCCGAAATATGCAGCGAACCATTTTGACATATTACATATAAATAGGTAGTATAAACCATCCCCAAATGGTAGTTTTTTCTGGTTTCCCACATTAATGTTATGATATTAATATATATATAATATATATATATAGTAAATATGATGGTTCGTTTTTCATACACAGGCCACAAGTCATACCTCCAACATATCGCAGTCATGAAGCCATTGTGGCGCCGATTTTTTTGCCCTGCAAGTAGATGGAAGGAGCGCAGGTGACATTACATCATTGCAACAGCATAAAATCAATCGCAATGATTGCGATTTGCGCCTGGGTTGAACTTGGGCACGTACCCAAATCTGGGATTGTCTACTAAAGATATCTCAGAATGGCCAGCCAGTCCCTTAGGTTTGGATGCGGTTTTGGATGCGGAATTCTTGATCAATATGATATCAATATGATGATTGCTCTAACTCCTTCTAATCGCTGTTTGAATGAGCATCCTTGCTGATTGCTTTTTGCTAAAAACTGCAGCATGTTGCCACATATTCACATGGTTATATCATATTGCCATATTCTACCCGTGACATTATTCGCATGAATGTTGTTCTTGCGTTCTTTCCTTTGAGTTGCGTGCCATATCACTGGCGTACTTGTGCCATCAGTCCTGAGTTTTTTTCCGGATCCCGCGTATTGTAGTAGTCATTCCGATTTTTGGCCATCAGTTGCACGGTTAGTGGTTTGACACATTTCTTCCCCCCAATGACTTTCATATATTTCAAGGGGGTTGAAACATGTTGAAACCACCAACCAAATGAGGTTTATCAAATGATTGTTGCATCGTATCCCCATGTTCGTTCTAGTTATAGCAAAAGCCATGGTTTCTGGTATATTTGCCCTTAAAACACCCACTGATGTAAGTTGTTGCTGCATCAGAGTACATCCACATGACCCACAAGTCCTTTCCAACATATTTACCGCTAGAGTCACCTGTTTTTGCTGCCTTTGGAGGCTGTGGCCGACCGTTTTGGTGAGCGCGTGCTGTGTTTTGGGAACCACGAGGACTTTGGGAATGTTTGCTGAGTCCACTATGTGTCCCAAGGACCAAAGAAAACATGGTTGATGGTTTAATGGTTTCCCATTCTTTCAGGCAACCATCAGGGTGGGAAAAAATCTTTCGGGCTGAAGTCTTAAAATGGTTGAGGACCTCAAGATGACTTTGATGACCAACGGACCATAGATGTGGAAAGTCCCAATAACGCAAACCATCTCAAGATTCCACAACCAAGTAAGTTGTCACAGTGGTATGTGGATGTCTAATGTTGGGTAATTATTTCTCCATTGTCTTAAGAATCGCCTGACTCCATGGGGTGTGGTGATTCGGTCCTGTTGCTTCGCAGCTATCACCAGCCAGCCCTGAGAACTGCTTCAGGACACCTTGCAACAGCTTTGTCGGCAGCCCAAAGCTCGCCACTGGGATGCAACGTGGTCTGTCGGCATGTCATTCTGCGGGAAATCTCGACCCAAAACTGGCAGTTGTGGTGCGAGATGTGTGCGTTTTTTTAATGATTTCCATGTCTATATGGGATGCTTATCCAAATTGACTTTCAATTATTGGGATGGGTTGAACCAACAACAAGGTCTCAGCAAAGCCCCAAACCCCTGTTGGTTGATGATGATACATGGGCTTACGCCAACTTGTTTTATTATGGGGATTAGTTGATGATTCCTATGCAAACATTTCTGGCCCTGGGTCAATGGATTTGTTCACTTGCAGCTGTGTGGGCCGACGGAAAACAACGCATACCCCGCCCCTGATGTTGGCCCACATGTAACCTCAGGCTGATGATTTGGAAGTGTAACCTGCCAAATTGAACACGCAATGGGCTTACACATCAGGGTCAATAAAGACACTGGTGAGTAAATCGGGATGTGAGCCGCCATGTACCTATGATGGGATGAGCAGGTAACATCCACCTAGAGTGGGAATATGAGCCAGCAAAAACGCAGATAACGCTGAATGGATTTTAGCAATGCACTATCATGAACTTCGACTTTTGTAGTTTTTTTGGGATTAGATTGTTTTACCACAAATTCCACAAAGAGTTCAAGTTGTAGCCGGGGATAACCACCAAGAACGCCCAAGAATTGGGTTGAGGGGAAAAGATCCAACCGTGCCCAGGACTGGGAGCTTTTGAGGTTGTGGATGTGAAATCCAACAAAGTGCTCTATACAAAGCTGGGGAGTGACTAAATCTGCAACTGATCAACTGGATAGGGCTGGACGACCAAGGAACATGTCCAAAATCTCCCGGAGAAACAAGACGGGAAACTCGACGGTTTCCATGGGATCATTTACGGAGGAGTTTGAGTCCAAGTGCACAAGTGTTTGGATATGAACATGAGATGACATGAGTTCCAATGTTTCAGGTACTAACTAGTGCACAAAGTGCCCTCAGGTAATCAAACATGGCAATAGGAAATTCGCATATTTGAAAGGCATCAAAGAGGGAGATAAATGGGATATGTCCCGCTGTTATGTTCGATTACGAAAAGGGTACGTGTGCGGGCAAAGTTTCAGCGGAAGAATCCTTGGTCGTGTCTCAGATGGACTCGTTGACTTGAACCGCTTCCTCATTTTGCATCTCAGAAACCTACTCTCCAAACCAGCCAGAGCTTTCCCAAACCCAAAGAAGTCTTAATGGCCGGAATTCCATCACTACGTAAACCTCGGTTGGGTAGTTGGATGGGTAAGATTTTAGCCACTGTAGCCGCTTTGGCTGTCTTTCGGGGAACGTAAGACATGATGTACCGAACATCGATTCTATTAAGTCTCGGCAGTGTATCAAAGCGTTGCAATCAGTGTTTTTTCTCATTTTTCTTGTGTTTTCCCGCTTTTCATCATCGTCCCGTCGTCTGTGTCTCTTTGGTTCAAATGAATGCTGGTTACCTGAGGTGGGTTGCACATCACTGAAAGGCAGGAATGGATGGACCAGCTTTTTGACGAGATCGATGAGCTCTGTGAAAAGGACTGATGGAGTCCGGAATGCCGCAATGTTTTTTTGCCAATCTTTGCTGTATAGATCTGCTTGGGCTACTTGGCCACTTCGTAAAAACGTCAACATCCAGCAATGTGATGCCCCAGATCAATCACTCTCTGCGCCATGTCATAGGATGAAGTGGATAAGATTTTTGGGGTAACTCGGTGACCCCTGGATGTTTGGCATCGCTTGAGTTGTCGAAACGTGGCAACTTTGCTCAAGCCTCAGCAGGAAAAGCCAATGCGCAGATTTTGACATCATCCTGCGCGGCTGAAGTCTGAAGCAAAGGTTGAGTCAAATGCAGTCATAACTCATAGCCGACCAGAAACAGTCAATCCTGAAAAACTAGGATAAACCAGGTAGCCAAAGACACTTGTGAATTTTAACACGAAGATCATTTTCAGCTGGCCCATTTTTGGAGTATCAACATGGCATTCCGGCATTTTCATTATTTCATGGCCTCAGTGGATGAGCCATGGCAAGCTCTGGCCGCTGCAGCCAGTTTCGTTTGCATCTATGGCCTGACCGCCTTGCTTCCCAGGGCCCTAGCATTGCCGGTGCCCATCTCTAACATCACCCACTGCAGCGAGCTGGATAGACCTATCATTACCACAGCACGGCCACATGGCATCTCTGGTTGGTTTCGGCCGAAGATCTTGTTGTGGGGAACTGGCGGTTGCTATGAGTGGAATGATTGGGCTGTCGCTCCTTGGAAGGTGACAGTCCTAAATTCAATGCAGCTCGTTCTCTGCATCGACCCCTACCGGCCATTTACATTTATAAAAAGCCTCGAGTCTTCGCAAGGTTTTTGCCGCTTGGTTCGTCCTGGCTGCATGATTTGGGCTTCATTTCTTGGCGTGCCAGTTCTCTTGGCTGCATTCTTGCAGGTGCCGCTGCTCTGTTTCAGCTTCCATTTTAATCCTCAGTTGGTGTTGGCAGCGCCAGCAATCACACTGGCTTTATGCATTTATGTGCACCAGGTGATCCAAACAAAGAATCCTTTGCATCAAAGGATCCAGGGGTACAGGGAGTACATGAAGAAGATGAGGACCTGTTCAGCCACTGAAATTGGAGCTCCACGATCGGTGCGTTGGCGTGACTTGCGCCAATTTGAGATGACCTTCGAGACGTTCATTGGGCAGAGGAACTTGTACTACATGGTCAGCAACATCATCAAGCCCTTGACACAGCCATTGAACTTATCCTTTGCTGAAATGGCTGGGCCGGGGATGGATTTGTATTTCTATGTGTCGCACAGTTACTGCTGGCAATTCAGGACCACCTTGACCTGCCTTGGTGTACACGCTGCTGGACAGGCTGGACTTGATTCCAGGTACTGGATGTGCGCATTCTCGATGAATCAGAATCAGGTGGGGGATGAGTTGGGTTATGGGTGCCTGTTTGAGTCAGCTTTCCACAAAGCTTTGTCTAGCCCTTTTTTCCAAGGCCTGGTGGTTCCTTTTCCGGATCCCTATTCCTTAGATCTATACCTCTCACGCAGTTGGTGCCTCTTGGAGCTTTTCATTGCTTTCACGCAAAACAACAACAGCAACGACCTGGAATTGGATCCAGTGTCGTTTTGCGCTCCTTCTGGCGTATTGAACCAAGGCCAGTGTAGCCCAGACATGTGCATGTTATGCATGGAGTGTTTAAGCACTTTGGATCTGGACAGATTAGATGCTTCTTCCCAAGCAGATTTGGAGATGATCCAGGGATACATCCAAGGGGTTGGATTGGAGAATTTTAAGAGGATTCTGAGTAGCAGCATCAAGAAAATCATAGAATCTGTGGAGTGTCGTGCGTCGCTCAATGCAGAGAGGGTGAAAAGCCAGTTGCTCTTGAGGAACTTCTCTCAGTTGCTGCAGCGCAGAGGATGCGATACTTTGGAGACGTGCCGTCCCGGGGCGGAGCGATCCATCAGTGCAGAGCAGCTTGATGAGCTTCAGAGTTTCTTCGCATCTGTCTTGGATAACCGGGATATGTATTGGGTTTGTGACGAGATTGTGAAACCGTTGACTCAACAGAAGCAGGTCTCCTATGCAGAGTTGGTAGGATGTGGCATGGTGAGATGGTTCATCTCACACTGGTGGGGGATGCACTTCAGCCTCACCGTGAAGAGTATCCTCAATCACGCGAAGCAAACTGGTGAGGACATGCGCTATTGGGTTTGCACCTTCAGCAACAACCAGTGGAAGATGTCCGAGGAAATTCCGCCCCTTGCACCGCCTTCAGAGTCTTCCTTTTACAAAGCACTTCGGAGTCCTTCATGCCTCGGAACGTGCATGATTCTGGATGAACGTGTGGTGCCCTTGTCCCGTGCGTGGTGTTTATTTGAGCTCCTTCAGACTTTCCTTATCCAAGATGAAGTTCCCTCCCGCGAATCCTTGAACATTTTGACGTCCTCTGGTGTGATGAACAGCGGGAAGTGCAGTATCGATACCGCTATGGCCATCGGAAAGCAGTTGACCATCTTAGATTTGCAGGATGCAGGCGCATCCAAAGATGCAGACAAACGTCTCATCTTCACTGCCGTGGAAACGGCCGGTGGTTTCGCGGCCATCAATGCCAAATTGAAACTTCGGATCCGAAAGGTGATTGGGGTGGTGGCCAACCAGTTTGACCAAGATTTGCAGCAACTTCATGTAGAACTTGGAAAGCAAAGCGGCGCTTTCTGTTGAGGTTTGAGGCGAAGCAGTGCACAAGACACTAAGCCAGCCAATAACTTTGATGAAAAGCCAAGGGAGTGCTTACTCTACAGGGGCTGGGCAGCGAGTGCTGGTACGGACCAGTGACAGCTTCTTGCCATTTGATCAATGCACTCATTTAGTTACAGATGGATTACACATTATATACATTGTTACATTGTATCGATGTGAGATGTTATGTATGGTTGCATCCTCGAACACGTAGACGAGATCATACTGCCAAGTACTCGCACTGGAAGACATCAAGTGCAGTAGGTGCAAATGCCCTCCAAAGAATCTGATTCACTTCGTCTACCCAGCATGAACCAATCGAGCTATATGGAAGAATCCACCAGAAGGATCTTGGTGATGATAGTTTTGGATTGTAAACGTTGACAGCAAAGGGGTGTGTAACCCAAGGATGCCTAAGCGGGTTCGATCCATCTTGATGGATGCATAGAACGCTGGATTTCGCCCCCAGTTGTGACCATTCGTTTTTTTCCACCTCAAGTTTGAGGAGGGTTTGAAAGTCCGTTCATATCCTTTCAGAGGATTTTCAAGAAAGGTTGATCTAAAGGCTTTTTCAATCTTTTTCATATTTTCAGTCCCCTGAAATTTCCAGAGAGATACAGGACATTGCCAATCTGCAACAGCCACAATCCGGTCGCCCCAGGAGAGCTGACGTGGAGTCATGGATCCAACGGCTTGGCAGGAAACCACGGCAATCTTCTGCCGGTTTTCCTAGCATTTTTGGGGACTCAGACTTATTGAGCCCTTTTTTGGGATGGTTTTAGATCCTATATGATCGATCCCACAGCCATCTATAGCCATCTATAGCCATTAATAGATGAATCAGTTAGTGGAAGAGGCTGGGGACTCCATGGCGGAGAGTGGCGCGTCCCGGGACGCCATGGGGACAAAGCAGCCCCGTGGCAGGGAAAAAGACTTGGCTGGCCGAGAAAAAACGCATGACATAGTTTCGTGGTCAAATTTGGAAGAATTTTGGCTTAAAATCCTGGTATTCTTTGGGACCCACAGCCATATTAATACTCCATCCTGCGCACAAAGATTCGTGATGGAACTTGGGGAGGGCAGGGGATCCGCTGAAAGCGAGCTGGAGTTTCCCCTGATGAATCTGGTGTACATGGGTCAGTACCGGCTCTTCACATCCTTTCGATACAAAATATCGAGATGCGCATGCTGCGCAGCGCGTCTTGAAAACCATGTTTGCCCCAACATGCTGTGTCCCTGCACATGCACTATTGTGTGTAGGATGTTTTAGTGAATGCCAATTCAGCAGTGTGTGCTTGTGTGCAGCCTTGCTGATCAAGCTGCTGGTGAAATGCTAGAAGTGAACCATGCCAGTATTGCAGGATGACACATCCGGCGGTGTTCTGCCAGAGAATTTCACTGCTCATGTAGATGCCAACTGCTAATATGTAGAGTCTACGTTTCGAACCGAACATCTTTTTTCCAACATGTTTTGTTTTTCAGTGAGTAACTTCACCTGCCTGTGGAGAAAACGTTTCCTCACAATCTGACAACGTCCTTGCCTGTAGGCAAGACGTGTCATGCACATGTCACTAGCCGCCGGTTTCTTCGCTGGTGCTGCTGGTCTGCTTGCGCATGTCGCGGACATCTTGACATGCTACAGTGCTCGGCCAGAACTTGAAGAGCTCTTTCATGGCCCGGGAGACATTTTGGATTTTCACAAGGCTTCAACCATGATGGCCAAGAAAAACATTTGGGAGCTTGCTGCAGGCCACGTGTTGGCTTTGATCTTCATTCCATCTGGTTTTGCTGGTACCTGCCTGCTTTTCAAGGCGCTTAGGCATCGGTACCGCTGGCTCCGTTGGCCATTGGTCGTTTTCCTCTTCAGTTTCTATGTGGCGGGTGCCCTCATGCATTGTTCATTCACTTTTGTTGGTCTAGTGGCCAGTGCACCTGAGAGAGGACACGTTGTGCCACCTGGCCTGAGAGACGATTTGAAGCCATTCTTTGAAATCATTTGTCGCCTCGTGGGCGAGCTTGCGATGCTTCCTGGCTGCATCTTCACCTTTGTTCTGCTTGCTTTTGGCATGACGCAGCTACCTCGATGGACTGCACTCTTTACGCCTGGCCCGTTGCAGTTGGCAGTGGCTGTGGTTGCTCCATACATGCCGCTGTCCGTTCGCATGTACATGTTGGTGACCATCTACAACCTGTCCAGTGGTATTTGGCACCTGACCATGGCCATGGCCTATTGGCGCTGCGGATTTGAGAAGGAACCCTCCAAAGAATAAGGAGTTCTTGTGTGTTGCGGGTCAAGCATGGCTCGGTATTCCCTGACATGTTCATCCTTGCTCCCCTTGGTTCACAATTTGCACAGCCTGTACAGCATTCGTGGCCGCCTTAGGGGTTTTAGGATGATCACAATCTTGGGACTGAGATTGCACCAGGCTCTTTGAGCAGGCTCGGGGCACAGGCGTGGGGCCATTGGCATCACCCATGCATTGCGACATCCTGGGTTTAAGCCATCTCTACCTCCATTTTATCAATTGTAATTGTTCATCCCTTTTGGACAAACTGTGCTGCAGCACCGCAAGTCCCCACGGCTGACTGCACCGGGCTGATCAATTTTTTGTTGATTGCAACCGGCTGCTTGGTCAGAGAAAAAGTAACATTGTGCTGCGAACCGACTCCTGAACAGAGGATTTGGACTTTCAACATGTAAATTTAGTTTGATTTAGAATTTTAACGTACCTATTTTACCAGGTAATCTCCAGCAAATCTGGGTGGCGGAAGTTTCAAAAGAATCACACTTTAGGAAACTGCCTTTGGCGATTTTGCTGTGTTGCTGTTTACAATAGTCTGAGATCCAAATATGTCTTAGACAGATCTCGGAAGCAGGATATGCATCCCCACCTGAGTTGAGTGAGCGCTAACATTTACTCTGTGTGTGACTGATATTTCATCAATTTCAGAGCTGATACGCTGATACCCTCTGTGAATTTCAGCAATGGAACATATATTTAAAGACGGCAACAAATCCATGGCATAAAGGGTGGATTTTCCATTGCCATGTCAACTTACCAGAGGGTAAGTGTTTGAACATGTGACAGCATGGTCACCAATGAGAGCCACCAAAAAGGCTTGATTTGTCAGCAAACAACTTGTAGAGTCTTGGTGGCAAGGGTGCTGAGATAGCCTGAAATAGCAGTAAATCATCATCTCGAACCGGACACCGTTTCGATATCCCCGCAGCACTGGATCGAATATGAGACTGCACATGACTGCCATGCTCAAATCGACAGAGTCACCGCGATTTGGATGGTTGCTGAAAAAATGGTAGGTCTGGTAAAATCCATTGAGAATTCAACTATTATGTTTTATACATTTTTATACAACTGTCTTGGTAAAATGGATAATGTAGATTGAGTCTTGGAATTGAAGCTACCAGCTGCAGGAATGCCATCGGCAATTTCTCAGCGGAAAAGAGCAGGAATCAAGTTCATCTCCAAGCAAGAAAAATCAGCTTGCTTGCCTCTGGTTTAAACTTGTTTTTGTAAAGTACCGGTGTATTTTTCCATAAACTAGAAAAGTAATGAAAAGTAAATAAAGTCACAGGGTGAGAATAACATGTTTATTTCTATAGGATACATGAGTCAATATCAAAAATTGATTTTTAATGTTTGCTATAGCCCTATGATCCCCTATGTATATTCCATTTATACATATTTACTTGTTTGGTCGGTTCAAATCCAGGCATCAAACAGAATCAGAAAGCACACTTCACCACTGAGCTGCTATGGCGGCAGAGCCCATGACGGACAGGGTCTGGGAGACTCGGGGTTGTCGTTGGATGGTTGACCTGTTGGCGGTCCCGGAGTGGAGGGACTTCCTTTCAAGGGGATTCAAAACAGCAACAAGTGTAATGTTGGATCCTGATTACTGTAGGGTCCCCCCCAAACAATTAGTGTCAAGTAGGGTATGCTCTATGTTTATTAGCGACCAGGTTTGGGGAACTCAGGATGATGAAGTTAAGCAAAGATTTCAATTTATTTGAATCTATTTTCAATTGATGTTCTTTTCGAATCTAACAAAATCAGGATTAGTGAGGAGTTCAAGTCATCTCAATTTACTTTCAAGTGATGTTCCTTTAAAACCTAAAAGATCCAAGGACAAGTAAGGACTTCAACTCATGTCAATCTACGTTCCGTTCAGTTCCTTTTTACCCAACGAAATCTAAGGATGAGTACGGACTTCACAAGTAACAACTTTACCCAAAGATAGATGGATAACGGGTTTTAAGTTTTGTTTTGTACCTCAGAAGGCCTTAGCACAATAGAGTGCCATCCAGACAATTCGATTATTGAGGATTTGAGTCACTCATGGGCTACCCTCTTGAAAAATTGTTCTCGCGCCGTTCTTTAATTGGAGTTTGATAATGACATTGATTCTTTGGGGGATCTTGCTTTCTAATGATTCCAGATGAATATGGCCTTGTAAGTTGTGGATTAAAAGGTTTTTTTTTTTAAACCTGGAAGGGCCTTAGCACAATAGAGTACCATCCAAATATCATTAATTAAGGATCTGAGTCATTCATGGGCTATCGAATCGTCTTGATTATCCCGGCAAGAGACCCCAAACAGTGTGGGGGGAGTAAAAGGATAATGTATTATAATATTGATGCTGATGTAAATTAATGTTGATGATAGTGTTGGTGATGTCGATGATGATGATGATGGTGATGATGGTGGTGATGATGATGATGCTGGTGATGATGATGGTGGTGGTGGTGGTGATGGTGATGACGATGATGACGATGATGACGATGATGACTGATGATGATGATGATGATGACGATGATGATGGTGAAGATGAGGATGATGTTGATGATGATGATGATGATGGTGATGGTGATGATGATGATGATGGTGATGATGATGACGATTATGATTATGATTATGATGATGATGAGAGGAAGATGATGATGTTGATGTTGACGAGAAGGAAGATGATGATGTTGAGGAGGATGATGTTGAGGAGGAAGATCGATCCCAAGACCGGGAAGCGCACTTTGAGTCGAAATGCACATGGACATTTCACAAGAGCCATTTTGTATGGAAATTTACAGGAAAAATGGCCGCGGACACCTTCGGGGACATCGTTTTGTGCGAGCCTGCGCGGTCGAAAGGCACATGGATATTTCACAAGAGCCATTTTGTATGGACATTTACAGGAAAAACGACCGGGGACACCTGCAGGGACATCGTTTTGTGCGAGCCTGCGCAGTCGAAATGCACATGGACAGAGTACAAGAGCCATTTTTGTATGGAAATTTACAGGAAAACGACCGGGGACACCTGCAGGGACATCGTTTTGTGCAAGCCTGCGCAGTCGAAATGCACATGGACAAAGTACAAGCGCCATTTTCTATGGAAATTTACAGGCAAAATGGCCGGGGACACCTCCGCGACAACTGTTTTGTGCGAGCCTGCGCAGTCGAAATGCACATGGACAGAGTACAAGAGCCATTTTGTGTGGACATTTACGGGGAAAATGACACACGCGTCGCCCACGGACTGCGCAGTCGAAATGCACATGGATTTGTCACAAGAGCCATTTTGTGTGGAAATTTGCAGAGAAAATGCCAAACGCTTCCGGTACGACCTCGATTGAACACCGGGCCTTAACACTTACCATAAGAACCTCTCAGTGTGGGCACACAGTTTGGGGAAAAAATCTCTTGACCCTCGAAAGACACAAGGACATGTCACAAGAGCGAGTTTTGACCGGAAACTGTAGGACCCTACTGCTGCGACACCCATTTTGTGCGAACCTGCGCAGTCCAAAGGCACATTCACATTTCACAAGGGCCATTTTGTATGGAAATTTGCAAGGAAAATGCCGGACGCTTATCCCGCGGCCAGCATTTTGTTCGAGCCTGCGCAGTCGAAATGCACAGACATTTCACAAGAGCCATTTTGTGTGGAAATTTACAGGGAAAATGCCGGGCCAGTGTTTTGTGCGAGCCTGCGCAGTGGAAATGCACATGGACATTTGACAAGAGGCACTATGGAAATTTACAGGGAAAATGCCGGACGCTTATGCCACGGCCAGTGTTTTGTGCGAGCCTGCGCAGTCGAAATGCAAATCCGCATGTCACAAGAGTCATTTTGTGTGGAAATTCACAGGGAAAATGCCGGACGCTTCCGATACCACCTCGATTGAACACCGGGCCTTAACACTTACCGTAAGCACCCGTCAGTGTGGACACATTGTTTGGGGGAAAAAATGTTTGGGTGCTGTTCATTCTTCGGGGAACCTTGCATTATAAGGATTCTAGATGAATATGGCTTTCTAAAGTAATTGCAGCAGCTTTACCCAAAGAAAGATGGATAAACGGTTTTGAGTGTTTTCACCCCTGAGCGGCCTTAGCACAATAGAGTACCATCCAAGCAATTCTATTGTTGAGGATCTGAGTCACTCACGGGCTACCCTCTTGTTCTTTCATTGGGTTTTAAGAAGGCAATTTGTTCCTTGGGGAAGTTGGCATTTTGAAGATTCAAGATGATTGGGGCGATCAAGATACAGCAACTATAATAATTAAGAGGAAGGGTGGACAAAGAAAAAATACCGCAAGAAGGGACTGGACCTACAAGAATGATATTTTGTTCTTGGAACTCATGTTTTCCTCCTGAAAAATGGGGCCTGGGACGGCCCATCCCCCAATTACAGGAGCCTGAGCTATTTTTTTGAAACACATTTCACAATAGGGTATCTTCCCACTAATCGGTATACGACATTATACATAATGAACCTGGTGACGTAGTTTTCACAAGTAGACACAGCATCATTGTCGAAGGAAGTTTAGAAGTCAAACTTCCGACAATATGGACAGATGAAAAGCAGAGCAGGGAAGAGGCAGAGAGAAGAGAAAGATTAGAAGAAAGAAGAGTAGAAGAGAAAGAGTAAGAAGAAAGAAGATGCAGATGCGTGAAAAGGTAGGAAAGTCGCGAAACACTGTGTTTTTCCAATGATTTGTGGCTCCGGAGGGTCGAAAAGTAGGCTCGCTAAAGCGGCGGGTGCGGAGCCAGCTGGCCAGATGAGAGATGAAAAATTGCACGCCGTTGTGGCGCGAAACACATTTGCAAGTCAAAATGTACAAAACACCTGGGTCTCGGAACACTTTTGGAAGTTGAGATGTCGAAAAAGTGCACGCCGTTGTGGTGCGAAGCACGTTTCCAAGTCAAAATGTACAAAACACCTCAGCGTCGGACCACTTTTGGAAGTTGCGATGTCGAAAAAGTGCATGCCGTTGTGGCGCGAAGCACATTTTGAAGTCAAAATGTACAAAACACACCACGTTCGGACCACTTTTCAAAGTTGCGATGTCGAAAAAGTGCACGCCGTTGTGGCGCGAAGCACATTTCCAAGTCAAAATGTACAAAACACACTATTCTCGGACCACTTTTGGAAGTTGCGATGTCGAAAAAGTGCACGCAGTTGTGGCGCGAAGCACATTTCCAAGTCAAAATGTTAAAAAATGTTAAAAACACTAGGGGTTCGGACCACTTTGGGAGGCTCAGATGTCGTTTCGCGTGGCAGGCGCAAGAGATTGTGCACCTTGTCAAAAAGTGAGCAAAGCATGAGCGTATTGTAGCATTTTCAACTACAACCGCCACTACAGCACACTACACTCCAATACACTACAACTACAACATACTACAACTACAACTACACCTTCACTACATTCCGCTACACTACGCTCCACTACACTCCACTACACTACACTCAAGTACACTCAATTACACTACACTACATTAAACTACACTCCACTACACTACATTACACTACACTACACTACCTTCCACTACACTACATTACACTACACTATAT